ATTTCCTCCCATCGGACTACCGCAAGTGTCTGTTGAACGCGAAAGTACGGTATACCAAGTTAGGTCAGAAAAGTTCACACCTTTTATTTGATTGCTGCATACGTGCTAGTTAAGATGTGTTCATGGAATCTCGAGGTTAAATGGTACTACTCTTTTCTGATATATTGCCATTTATTTCAAGGGAATACGAGCAATAGTTCGCCCACAAACGACGCCAGGTAAAAATGTAAAAAATCGCAGTTGCGCGCGCATTTTCAGGTTACCGTGCCAAGATCAACATCCCTAATGTCTTGTTCTTCCAAAATTTATTTTTTAAAAGGCGTGGATAACAAGTGTGTTAATAGTGAAATAATGCGCGCACGACTACGGTTTTTCACCTCGTGAAAAAAAAGTCGTGTACGGCCCGACGAAAAGTGCCACGTAGGGCAAAACTGTGAATTCCGCAACGAGTTTGGACCCCAACTATTTGTTCTCTTGTTTCACTGGAGCTGACGACGTCTGTGTGCACAGAGCCATGCGGTATTATACCTTCGATGAGACTTGAAAATACGAATCTGATGACTCGGAGCACGGAAGGATGTCTCTCGTTAGAATGTCGAGCGTTAAATTTAGTCGTGATCGTCCTTCCTGATGAGCATTCGGCTTATTCCGCACCCCTTCTGCTGAAACCGCAAATCTATTCTGGGAATTCCGCTACCCTTACTTCTTCCACGCCCCCTTGCCCTTCAAAGGCGAAGTTATTAGTTTTCAGGCCCTTACACTGGCAATGATGGATAATAGTTCTTTTCATGTTCAGATTTACCAGGAGTTCAGGTATGAAGTACAAAACAACATCTTTAACCGAACAAAGCAGAAAAGGACGTCTTCGAGATTCCCCATGACAAGTAAAGAGCGTATTTTGTCTCATCTCTTGGGGTTTTTTTTGGCCATGGAAAGTAGGCGCCTCAAGGCGTGTTTAAAAGGGGAAGGACCTCTAACGTATGTCGTAAATTTTCCTAGTGATACTATTTTATTTCAAGACAGTGGAATTTATCATACTCTCGATTTCCAATGTTGAAACATCATTTGCGAACCCTCCTCTATCATCATTTATGGTTGTTCGTGGGACTCCATACATTTTGAAGTCCCATGCAATCCCATCCTGCCAGACTTTGCAGCGTTAATTGCCGCGTCATGATCTTCCTGCAAATACTTATTGCTTGTCCTAACCTTCTTGCTGATTGTTATTGGCTTCATCCTTCGTCCTCTGGCTCTTGCTGTGTTTTTGGTTTTACCTTTGGGGTTTTCCATTTCTTTCCAAACGGCAATATCACAATTTGTTACTGTATATGTAACAATGAATTGGAAGTCGGATGCGACCTGCATGAGCACGACAGACGACTGAGCGGTAAAAGTGCGAAATTTAAAACCTTGCCGTCAGGAGAATATAGGAAACGTTCCAACAAGAAGTTACGGAGTTCACTGATAGGTCATATTCCTTTCGGACGATCCCGCAACGTCTGCACTGTTCATATTTGAAGAGATATTCGTATGAATCACCTCTTGTTTAGTCCCAAAACTCTCGAAGGACTGAATGGACGAGCAATCTTCAGTTCCATATGTCATAAAAATATAATTATCGATAATATTCAACACATATCCAACAATTGGACTCTCACTATTGGGCACGGTATTCGACGAGGAGGAGCATCTTGCTCCCCTTGCCCACCATCAATTATTTGCCCAGATGAGATGAGATGAGATGAGGGGACGGTGATCGCTTCGACTTCAGAGTACATGTGGCACTTTCCATTAAACTAGGCAGGTTACCGATCGAGTTTTTCACAGGGAATTAATACAGTGGGAAAGTGATAAGTTACGGAATCACCCTCCAGTTTCACGAGCGTTGCGGAATTCCAGATTTGCCTCACTGTACTCCGTCGAGGCGATACGAAATGGACTGCTTTGTGGTATGATCGCAACGCGTGCGTGGATTCGGGTGGGTCGGAATGGAAGGATTCCTGGCTCCGGGGACGATGGGAAACGAGGGTGAAGGCTCAGGCCGTTTAGTTCGCTTCCGCACCCGTAGACGTCCTGCGCGTTTTCGCACTCGAAGCGCACGATTAGGGATCCGAGTTTTCGTATTCCTTCGCTGCCTCCATAGGTCTCATCCGCGAGCCCGAACTCGAGATGCTTCGAGGTACTCTTTTTCGAAGGCTCGAATGGAATCGGTCTCCTCGCAACCGTGACTGACGGGCGCGAGCACGAGACGTTAAGATGGAACCGTCACTCGAGCCATCAGACGAGAGAGTTACGAGGAACGTCTGGTCTTCGAACGCGACGGTTTCAGTTTTATACGCGTTCGAGTCGACAGAGTCTCTTCGAAAGAAGAAAGGAAATAGTAGTGAAAGGAAAGGAAGAAATGACGGAGAGAAAGATGATGTAAGAAAGTCGAAGATGTCCTCCCCCTTCCGCCTCGTGCGTATGCGACGCGCGTCCGTTTTTTTCTGTTAGACACCAGTGGCCATCCGGATTCCGAAGGAAAGCAAACGATCCCTACGTGTGGAAAAAATGCATCGTGCGGTCGACTTCCGCTCCGATCGCCATCGGGAGAACGGGACGGTGTTTCCGCTTTGCTGCCTTGAGTATAGCGCTAAGAAGCGCTAGACTCTCGACCGCGAGACCGAAAGGGACTCGTTTGCTCGAGCGATCCGTCCAAGCTAAGTCGTCGGCGTGATTTTCGAGGGCTAGACATCGTTTATCATCCCGAGACCCCTTTTGCGAGGGATGAGGCTGTCGGTCCTCATTGGGATTGGGATTCGAGATTCCTGACCGTTGGGGTGTCGATACGGCGTCGACGGGGCTTGACGCCCACATCCCCTCGTGTCGGTTTGGAAAGTTCGTGCTTTTCACGGACGAAACATCGTTACTCCAGATTCCCATCCAAAATTGGAATCATCAGCTTCTTCCAAGTGGATTCCAGTACATCCTCGATAATAACAAAATAATTTCGTGTATGTGACCCTCCGATGCTTCGAGCGGATATGAGGAATACTACGGGTATCTTTCGTTAACTTGCAAACGGTAGGTTCGATTCGCGAGTGTCGGCGTACCAGAATGATGCTCACACCCATAAATCACTCACTTCCAATAATTATGTTCTCGCGCTGACTCAAGCGTAGAGAATAATGCATTCGTTCATGTAACCGATTTTTACCTCCTAGGCAGTCTGCGTGGTCGAGTGGTCCTCGATCTTAGATGCTCGATGATACGGAGTCCGAGGCGCATGGTGCTGGCACCTTCACACTTCCTTCGTTTTTTCCTTTTCTTGAGCGGTTTCCCGAATGGTTCGATCACTGGCCCTTGGTAAATGTAGCGATACTGACGCCTTTTGGCTTTGAAAAATGATGAATTCTAGAAGTGGCATTTCCATATGTAGCTCATTCCCGAGTTATTTTCATCGATACCGGTAATATACCTATGGTGTGTGTTAGGTTTGCAGTTTCCACGAAATTGCTCAATCGAGACTATACACTTCAGCCGTAACATTCATTACAAACTTGCAAATAGTTTGCTACAGCTGGTATGTTACAAGATGCGTCTCTTCGTAATCGGTATTCGAAACCGATGAGAATCGAGAATCCCGCAGTTTGAGTTTGATGCAAATCGGTGCGAGATTCTCCTTAGTTGAAGTGACTCGAAGCTTAGATATGTCGAGCATAACACTTTGAGCCCGACACCCACCAAAGGACAGGCTTAACCCAGGGGTATTCTAATTGCGACCCAGTTTTTACTTCCTTGCGGCCACCTACAGTATGCTAATAATTGTATATTTAACCCTTCAATGCATGACGTAGCAGATATGCTACATACCAAATATTTTTTTTACATTTTTACAATGGGTAGGTAGCGAGCTTCTGAGGTAAATCTGTTCGTAACAGATGTGCAATAGTCCTGTCCTTATACTTAGCAACTATGCGGTCGCTAGGTGCCATACGCTCATGGTGGCAAGCAAATTAAAAACACCTCGTTTCGTCGTGTGACAGATATACGTTTTTGGTGCAATTATCTTCAACTTTATGCTAATCCAGCGTCCAGGCTCATCCGTATTATTACATTTTATTTTGCGTTCAGGAATTTACGAATGTTGACGGATCGACTAAGCTCTCTAGCGTCCATGCAGCGTGGTTTAGAAAGCTACAAATGCTGTTTGTAGCAAATGAGTAACATTTTCGGGCCTACTGCTTACAATTTGAGGAAATTTTTTTCCACTTTTCCCTTGTTCTAGAACGTAAGTGAAACCTAAGTTTTTCTTACCAGATTTTTTTTCGCCAATAAAGAAAAAAATCACACATTAAAGGTCAGAAATAAAAAATTGTTTCTGATTCGGCCCACTCCAGGTTGACCAAAGTATCCATGTGGCCCTCACCTCAAAAAGTTTGAGGACCACTGGTCAAGCCCATAGCTCATCCAGATCGCCAGGGCTGGAAGTATTATTGGAAATGAGTTTTCGTTCTTACGTGAATCAAGATAGTAAAGATAGTTTTTGTCCGCGACTTATTTGGAGAGAAATTACTTCTGCCAACTTCGTGAGTTGAGTTTCGAAGATACTTTAAATTTGTAATACCTCGGCAAATTTTCTTCTTGCTTCCTTATACACCTCCTTGTTAATTTACTCCCAAATCCGATTCCTTGACCCTGACACTGCAAAGCGGTCATTCGATCCAGTCATTTCATCCGACCCGGCCCAGGTAGCAGAAAACGAATGGCAATGAAGGACGTAGCATCGTCTTTGAACACGCTCGTTCCCAGGCTGTAATCTATGACCACCACAACGGGGGAGGGGGATTGAAGCGTTGTCGAAGGAAAACTTTACCTTCACTCGAAACGTCTCGCAACAGTCTTTGCATTTAACAAAATTTGTTGACTTGAAAGTGTGTCACTTCATTTTTTTTGCCATTGGAATGTAGGTCAGGTGATAAAAAGATGATCTCTCCTGAATATATGTGTGCATTATGTAGCACTTGGAGACACTGGCACGGGAAAATGGGTTGGAAGTCGGGAATGGAACATGGGAGGAAACAAATGCAGCCGAACACATCCTCTCGTCCATCCTCAAGTCTTCTCCCTTCCCTTCAGCTCCTTCTATCAAGCATGTGAGCCATAAAGTCCATTCCATTCCGCTAAGTTATCACCTGAAAATCTTGCCCGAGTCACATTCTTTCAGGGAATAGAGTGACAAACTGGTTGGTATTGCGACAGATATACAGGTTGTCCCAGAATTAATTGCCAAAAGTAAACGCGTGCCATTCAAACATCGCTCATGAAACTCCTCAAAAATTGGCATACATATAGATCTTGACCTAAAATTTTAATGTGGAAAGATTCAGTATTCCCAGGTGAAGTTGAATTGTTTTTTTTTTTTAGCAGTTTCTTGAAAATGTACGTTTTCGAGGTAGCACTTTTTGAACCTGAAGGTAAAGCCCGCGCGGCATTCAAACATCGTTTGACGGAAGTCCACAAAAATTTGCATGTGTGCGGGGAATATCATCAACTTTTACTTGCCAAATAATCATATCATTTACCCGGTCTAAGTATACAAAATTGCGATCATGATCGAAATATCATAATAACTCGATCATGATCGAAAACCATACTTAGACCCAAATAACTGATAGCTCGATCATCATAACTCGATTGTCCTCCCGGACCCCTATAACTGATCGAATTTTCATACTTAGACCGAAATCGTAATTGAGAGCGACATCTATAATAATTGAGAGCGACATTTAACTTTACCACCGACAAATCCAGTCATCTCTGGCCCTTTTCCTGCCCATCACAACCAAAGATCGGATATCCAGATGGCTTTGTTCCTCACATTTCCAGTTTCGATTCGAACAGTGCTTGGGTACGCTTGTCACCCCATATTCTAATAACAGCTGTCGTTTCATCAATCGAGTAAAAAACGCCTTACACAAAGCCTAGTACCATCACAACTTTCCTCCATCTTCCAATCCTTTTTCACAAGAAAGACACGAGGTCTCTGTTGGTAACTGCTGCGCTATGTCTCCAAACAGTCGAGGTGGTAAAATTAGAAATATACAATGGAGTAAATTCCACGTGAAAGACACATGGGATAATTGAAGTTTAGTAAGGATGTGGATGTGGATGTAAGGATGTGGCGCTCGAGGGAGTACAGAGGACGGCCACAAGAATGATTAAGGAGGTCAGGGGACTATCATACGAGAAGCGTTTAGAAGTGTTGGGACTGTAATCGCTCGAACGAAGGTTAAGGAGGGGCGATCTCATCCAGGCTTTCAAGTAAATGGGCGAAATCGCCTCTTGATATCACTAACTCTCCTGACTCCTGAGGGCGAAGTCGCAGGGGGTCAGGTCTGGGCTTCTCAGGGGCCAGGAGATCGAACTCTTAATCAACGCCTAATTGATATAATGATTTGATTATTTGGCAAATAAAAGTTGGGGATATTCCCCGCACAAATGCAAATTTTTGTGGAGTTCCGTCAAACGATGCTTGAATGCCGCGCGGGCTTTGCCTTCAGGTTCAAAAAGTGCTACCTCGAAAACGTACATTTTCAAGAAACTGCTAAAGAAAAAAAACAATTCAACTTCACCTGAGAATACTGAATCTTTCTACATTAAAATTTTAGGTCAAGATCTATATGTATGCCAATTTTTGAGGAGTTTCATGGAGCGATGTTTGAATGGCACGCGTTTACTTTTGGCAATTAATTCTGGGACACCCTGTGTAATATCTTATTTGCTTATTGCCTATCCCAGGAGCATCAACAGGAGGGTAACTACAACCAATTTTTTTTTAAATATGTGTGTCATCACCCTCTGCAGATAGTCCCAGAGGATTGTGAAATGGCATGAATATGTTTAGACGACGAGCATGACCATGATATTTAATTCCCTCCACCTCGCCACATGTATTGTTATTTCGTGGTAAATGTTACATATATAGTTGACGATCTTGATTCATCAATACTTGGTGTCAACGTACTGGGTGATCATAAATCAAGTACCTTACTTTAGAGCGCTACTGCACCTAAACTGTAAGGTGTATGATGAAGCCGTCGCACAGACATGGCAAGTGGCAAAAGGAGAAACAATTCCAGCACTACCAAATCTTGCTACAGGGGCGCCACCTTGTGTAATTTGCATATTACATATAAATCCCAGAGATGACATCGTGTAAATACGCTGCCGATACCGCTGTACAGATTAATATGCATAATAAATGTGACGGGAGTGCAGAGGGCAGATGTTGAAGATTTCCTACAGTGGCAGGCATTCAATGCAGAATATGCTTCGGTGGCGCCCCCTGCGGCAAGATTTGGTAGGTGCTGCAGGTATGAAATGGTTGCACCCCCAGTGGCAAAGATTCGTTAAGTGCGGGAATTGATTCCCAAGCGTTACATGTCGAACGTCTGCGATGTCACCATCCTATACCCTATAGTAAGGGCGCTAAAGCTCTTTCTACTGGGATACAATTATTGAACCTAATTCTGCAAGACTCTCATTTGCTTAGTCTTCGTACCTCACTATCTGCTTGGTCCTGACAACAAGAAAGGGTTCTGACCCTGGGGGAATGAAGTTAAAAGGGCGGAATTGGGTACGAGGTATATGGAGCCTGTGATTTCCTCGCATCCATAGAGCTCACTATCCCGTTCTATGACGAGAACATGAGCAAATTAAGGTCTTGCAGAAATAAGTTCAATAGCTGTACTTTCATTATAATCACCCTGTACGCACCATCACCCTCCTGCCAAAAATAGTTGAAGTGGTAAACTTTTGGTTGGATAATAATCAGTTGGTAGATAGAAGTCTAATTTATAAATACTTGTCTATTGTCTTACAATAGCAATAAGGTCATAAAGTAGACATAAACCTGGTGAGAATAATTGAACGACTCTTCCCCGGCGGTGCCGAGGCCTCGTTTAAGTACGATTCACTCCAGCACAACATTCCAGGCGGTCCAGGACCAAACTAGAGGAAGTTGGCATCGATGTCCAACCCTGGGCGGGGCAGGGTCAAAACATGACTCCAGTGGAGCGTGTTTTAGATGTTATCGGTGAAAGAGTGGCCTAGAAATTGCAGGAACAACGAAGTGCAGTTTGAAGCTGTTAGCAGCACTTGGAATGAAACTCCAACTGACGGCGATCATTAGTTGACTGCATGTCGAAACTTGTGAATTCCCTATAGGAGACGGGGCGCGCCATCAGTTTATAGACCGAACAGATTGCATTAAAACAATGCAACTGAGTTGTCTGCATTATTTTACAATCAAACTAGCAAAGTTTAACTGCCATAGATACATCTAGAGACAAATTACTAGCTGGCATGCAAAGTTTTGCGACCATAGACTTTTTTTTGGCCAGTAGTGTATAGCCCTATCCGTCCTATTATTGTGGCGCAAGCCATCGATATACACCAAACTAAATGCATTAACCATTTCGCTGATACCGGGATATACCTTGTCCCATTGCTAATGTTCTACTAAAAGCGCTGTAATTATTAAACGATCCAAAGCATCGAATTTTTTCATACGTATTGTTCAAAAGCTGCACCATTTATAATAACCGTCTTCAGATGTCACCACTCATAGTTTATTAGATGTAAAGCTTTTGAAGCTTAGGTTGATGGCGGCACTGTGGCGAAATTTCCAAGTGACCAATATTATTTTTGCGGGAAATATGTATGCAATTTGCGTACCTATTTTCGACTTATTTCTGGACTTTAGATGCATATTTTCTGAATGTATTTATGTTACGCTCTATTTTCATTTTCACAAGTATAACTTTTCATATATACCTGTACATGTATTTTACAAATTTCCATTGCACAAAAGTTTGTCACCGAAAGGGTTAAACTTAAATTTGAGTGTACCCACTGTGGTCTAGCCTTTGTCTCTGATTAGGCTGTGTTTAGGGTTCAGAACTGGTAAATTCCGCTGGAAAACCCAGTGGTAATAATTTCCCTCGCTCCCTCTTGGTTTTAGCTAGTATTAACAGGATGAATGGGGAAAAAATTTAAATTTCATGCTGCAAAGAACTGCAAAGGTCCATTTTTCCAAGTTTGAGAATGGCTTTTAGCCTTCGAACTAATATGCAAGAATTAGCATAACAGATTCGACCTTATCTTTGGTGAATTATTGGATTCCCACTAGTAAATTACTTTCATACATCATTCCCTCTAACTTAAAATTTTTTTTAGAGTGACTCCCTCTAAATGGTGGATTGCACCTGCTTTCCAGCTATTTGGATAATAAGATGGTTCCTAAGCTTTTTATGAATGTTCCTGGAGTTTGATAACAGCATTTTCATTCCAGCATAGGTTTATTTCAGAAGTTGAAACTGCAGCAGCCACGGGTATTGTAATGAGTAAAATATATATATATTTTTCATTTCAATTAATCTTCTTGTAATGATTGTCTTTCAAGTGATAGTTCAAAAGAAACATTTTATTATTGAATTTTGAGGTCCTGGTTTTCATAATATGTATTTACATTAGTGTCCATGAATGTGCAGAGGTGCTGCCAATACAGTATCTTGCAGCCCAAAGGTGTGCCATTGCTTGTGAAATGCTGAGAACCATCGCTTTAAAGCATTTTCCAAAATTGTGGCATAGAGTATACAAGGCATGGTAAAGAAAAGAAAGAACCCCTGACTTTTAACCTAAAAGTCTCTGCTTTTAAAATTGCCATTACTGCAAAACTTTCACTTTGCGTAGACTGACATGTTTACATGAGACTAATGAAATCATTTGAAATTCATGTCAAAGCAAGACTTTGTACAATAATTCAAATAAGTTGGATATTAAAAATGGACAAGGGCCCCTGCTGGGAGTTGAAGGGAGGAAGAGCCCAAGTGCTAAGGGTGCATATAGGGAGTCTTGTCAATCTGCAGGGGCTGGAGTCCCCCCATCCATGTTAAATTTCTGATTTCCTTCTAAAGTTCATAGCCTTGCTGTGCAGAACAAGTTTGCATGAAACTCCAAAGAGGTGTTGAGAACATATCAGTTGCACAACATGTTTTTCACAAGAATGGATCCAGTAAGTGCTGTGTTATAAAGGGCATGCAATTTTTTTTTCCATGCCATATGTATCCACTTTTCCATCCAATAACCTTCTGCATGTCCAAAATGAGCAGAGACTTGCATCACTGCTATAGGATCCATTTACTCCCAGGACGTAGCAGTACTCTCTTATTGGCTGACAGTCCTCTATGGCAGTGGCTTCCAGACTTCTTTGTATCGTGACCCACTTGCTGGCATACAGAAAATTTTAAAACTAGAATCCAGAACGAGGTATTTTCAAAGTAATCATGACTTGAGGAAAACTGATAGACCTTTTCCACAGGGCATGTTTTATCATGAGAGGATGCTGATGTAGTGATTTTTTCATACTGGGAGAATGCACACAACCCACCTTGATGCCTCTCATGACCCACAGTTTGGGAACTGCTGCTCTATGGCATACATTTTTGCATATGGTTACAACCTTCCTGCAGAATGAGCTCAACTTCTAAGAACACCCTGTCAGTTTTCAAGATGCCAAAACAACCACAGTAGGAGGAATTTATATTTATATTTTGGAGCAGCAACACCTAAGGTGACAAATCATCATGGTTGGCTTGGCTCTTGGCACTTGGTGATTTTTGGGTCTGTGGTATTCAGTCAGAAAAGGATTGTCATAAGGAAAAACAATGCAGCAGATCTGGTCTCTGGATGTTCTTAAAGCTGATACTGTGTTCTTGCCTTCTATTTTATTACATTTAGTCAGGTGTTGTACTGAATGTCACTGGATTGACCATGTGGCAGCCATAACAATTTTTATCATTTGCACCTACCAGCACTGATGGTGAACATGTAAGTTTACTACTTAATTCTAAGTACTCCTATAGAATACGAGAGGACATTGCAAATTCTGGTAAAGGCTGCTTAAGAATAATAAGAATCACCAATAAAAGAATATGATCATAAGATATTGCATCCAAATGAGGTTTCTCAAGGAAATGTCATCAAACCAGTTCCAGAACTTTGTAATAAGGAATTTTTCTTTGAATTTGAAATTTGATTACCATATCAAGATTAGTAGAATGCTGTGGGCTTATGTGCTGCTTTGTTTATCTCTTGCAGGAATGCCCAGGAGGAGAGGGGAATGGTCATGATGGTGCAAAGGAGGAAGGTGAAACTGTTGAGGGCAGTCACAAAGCCATTGACTTCATGGATGATGACATGGACCTGTATGGCAATGATCCCCTATTCTCTTCCCCTCATATCACAAGTGCATTGAATGGAAGGATCCACATTGAGAGCCCTGGAGACGAGAGTGTTGGTGGAAGCCTTAGTCCATCAAGTAGTATGGACTTGACACTTTGACTTACTTGGAGAGGGATGTTTCACCCTCCATTGCTCATGCCCCATTTTTTGGGAATGGCACCATTCTGTGATATCTCCTTCATATTTTCTCTCTCTCATTCCTGTCTATTTCTTCCCATTTCACAGCAAGACCCTCTATATTGATGTTATAGTTTCCATATCACATTTCACAAGGAACATATGACAAATTGCTACCCTGGTGGTATGTCTTTCATTCAGTACCATGCAGCACATCTCCATTTCCAACTCAGCACATTAGGTGACAGTTGCATCATCATTTCTCAAGAAGTGAATTCAAGTACAGTTCAAACTGGAGACTTGACTCGCACTCATTCCTGATATCTTGTAAGAGGTCTTGATGTCTCCAGTCACATCTCCAATCTTGATGTCTCTCTCTGTCATCTTTCCTCTTGGCAACAGTCTCATCTGCATTTTGATGAAAGAGGTCATGAGGGAAGAACCTACATGATAAATTTAAAAATCCCTCTTCTTGTCTCACTTTCTTCTCACCTGAGTCAGAATCCATAGAATGCACAAAGGGTCTTCTGAGGATGTCACTCATGAGGGCAAGGAAATCTTCTTCCAAGATGGCAATGCAGTCAATACTGTTATCCTTGGTAATCTGTGTGCTCTCCAGTCCTTGCCATACTCCCTCCATGAATGCTTCTGTCCCCTCACACTCCCCTGCCCTATATATATACAGGGTGGGGCAAAAGTCAGAGAACATAGGAGTTTTGGGGGAATTTAATTTTCCTTTCTGTCTAACCTTTCACTAATGCCTACAACTCTCAACATGTCTCTCATTGATTGTTGTAGCTGGATGGACACTAGGGCCAGAAGTGCTGTTTTGTTGGCTTTTCCTATTGCACCCATATCTTTTTGCACATTGAGAGCACTGCTGGTTGCCCAGAACTTTGCTATAAAATCTGAAATGCTGTGGATTGACAGTCTTGGCCTATTTGGGTGTCTTTCATGGTAATCATACTAGTTTGCCAAAAACTGTTGTCTGTTTTTGCATAAATCATCAACTCCATTCATTTTTCGGTTTAATACAGGGTGTTCCTAAATTATCTTTCCTATTTTGAATGCAAATAAAAAAATAACTAATGGTATACAAATATGCAGTTTGCACCATCTTGTAGCCTGACTCATAGAGTCTTGACAAGTAAGTAGACTTCCACACCTGCTCCATTAGTGGCTCTAAGCATGTCCAACTGATATTTCAGTTTCAGTCCATGTTCACTGCAATATGTCTACAGTCAAATTGGCGATAGTGTCCGTTATCCTGGTCGGTAGTTCTGTGATGTTTTTTACCGTAAGAGCAATTTGTGGTCCCACAACTGGAGGAAATACAACCTTAAATCATCTTTCAACAAGATGGTTTGCCACCCCAGTGGAGTTTGCTGGTCAGGCAATTCCTGCACCAGACATTTCTGGGATGGGTCTGGATGAGCCATTTCCATGACCTCCACGTTTGCCATACATCACCCCACTAGACTTCTTTTCTTTAGGGGTATGTCAAAGCCATCATGTATTGCATGCCTATAGCAAACATTGCAGAACAAGATCAAGATAATGGACGCTATTGCAGTGTGACTGTGGACATATTGCAGTGAACCTGGACTGAAACTGAAGTATCGGTTGGACAAGCTGAGAGCCACTAACAGAGTAATGTGGAAGTCTACTGACACGTCAATAAAAACTCTTTGAGTCAGGCTACAAGATGGTGCAAACTACATTTTTGAATGCCTATTAGTTACTTTTTTATTTGCATTAAAAATAGGAAAGTTAATTTAGGAACACCCTGTACATCATTTTTAGGTTATTTCACAACACTCAATCAAAAAAGTCACTTCCAAATGTCATCTGTCAAATTATGGCAAAATTGTGCACACTCAAGCATGGAGGTCACCAACATGAACAGCAACGGATATGACATACATATGGTTGCACCTTCGGTGCTCCATTTTCCAGGTTAGTGATTCATTCACTAATTTTTTTTCAAAGTGGCAAAAACGTATTAGAAGTATGTGCCTGTCTAAATGTATGCCGAGAGAGAACGAACCAATACTTCCATCGAAATAATTGCACCAATTATTTATTGTGTACCTGACTTCAAATCTCTTCATAATCTGTCCTGAGGGGTCTTACTTGAAAAATAAGATATGCACTTAGAAATCGAACAGGTACTTCTGCTCTAAGTTTCAACTTTCTTTAGTTCTCTAATTCATTGAATCAGAAAAGTTTCCAGAAAAGGTATCTTTTGCAAAAAAAAAAAAAAATGCCCTCAGGGATTTTACCTAAAACTTAACATTTTTACTGAACTCAGTACTTGGAGAACAACATGCATGCCAAGTTTCATCCTTATTCGTTTGCTCTTTTTGCTGACACAAAAATATCTTTGGAAAAGCCGAAAAAGCCAAAAGCTGTACCCTATGGATATGGACAACTAAACTGGAATTTTTTCCTGAACTCACCATCACCCCAGTTATTGCTGTGCCAAGTTTCATATTTCTAACTCTGTACAATTCAGTGGACAAAAAAAATTATTTAAAAACATCACCTCCCAAAAATATGCCCCCAGGGCATGTATCCAAAACTTGACATTTTTTCCTACACTCAGAGACTCAGTAGGTACGTCCATGTCACATTTCAGCTTTCCGTGTTTATCCGTTTGAAGCAAAAAAATATATTTGAAAACATCTTTCCCTGAAATTTGTGCTCCTAGGGCATTTGCCTCCAAAGTCTGAATTTTTTTAAAATCGGTATCCCAATAGATACTTATATATCAAGTTTCACCTTTCTATCTCTGGTCAATTCAGTGGGACTAAAAAAAATTATTTAAAAACGTCACCCCCAAAAGTGTGCCCCCAGGGCATGCATCTGAAATTTGACATTTTTCCTGAACTGAGTGCCTCAGTAGGCACATCCATGCCAAGTTTCAGCTTTCCATGTCTCTCCGTTTCACTGAAGCAATTATAAGTCATTGAAAACATTTCCCCCCAAAATGGGTGCCCCTAGGGCATGTACCTCCAAAGTCGGATTTTTTCTGAACTCTGCTTCCAAAAAGGTACAGATGTACCAAGTAAGTCTAAAGATTGGAGAGATCTTGTACCAATCTTAATCGCAGTCAGTCAGTGGATCGTCTATATATATTAGATTATCAGCAAAATTGCCATACTTGTTCCGGGTAAGTAACGATCATTCATTTCCAGACAATATCAGTGGATGCAGCAGGCTTATTCTTCACTGGACTTCAACCATTGTATGCGAAATTGATGAAAAACAGATATAAAAATATGCTGCCATCCAGCAGTCATCTTGGAAATTAAATTATTATAAAATTCTTATGTTCCCTGACTTTTGCCCCACCTTGCCTATATACACTGGGTATGGGAAAAAAATTGACCAAGGACTTTTAACCTAAATATCTCCATTCACAATGGAGCTATTTTCACAAAACGTTCACTTTGCATATATGAGTATGTTTCCAAGTGATACTTAAAATTTTACCCAAAATTGTTTAGCCAAAGCAATACTATCAGCAATTATTGAAAAGAAGTTAGACATTGAGAATGAACAAGAGCTCCTGATGGTAGTGGAGGGGAGAAAACACTTAACGCTGTCCCTCCTGGCCATCCAGATCATGTAAAACTCCTCCATTCATGGGACTGAATGTCTCTTGCAGATGGTTTTCAAGAGCTTATTCCCAATGAATAGCAGATGAATCAATGAATATCAATTCAGAGAGTTTTCTCAACGTTCTTTTAGAATTCCTTTTGTTTTATGTCAGCTTGAATCTGCAGGGTATGACATAAAAGGCCAACAACTTTGAATGTATCATGATTTCTTGCAGTAAGTCATATCTTACCAAATTTGCTGAGGATATAGCATGTTTATTTCATTGCTAGTTTTCATTTATTTGAAAGTCAACAAGGCTGCAAAAATCCTTTACTGCAGATCAAAGTTATAAATTAGATTATATCTTTGACAAGTCTGACATATGAAACAGACAGTTCCTTAAAAAAAAACAAGGGGAGCTCAGAATCAACTTTGAGAAAACACTCTGGATTGATATTCATTAATTCATCTACTATTCATTGGGAAGAAGCTCATGAAAATCATCTGTATTAGACAACCAGCCCAAAGAATGAATTTGAATGGAAGAGGAGCTTGACGTGGTTGGGATGACCAGAAAAGACAGAGCCAAAGTGTTTCCTCCACTCCACTACCACCAGGAGCTCTTGTCCAATTGCAATGTCTAAAGTCTTTTCAATAATCACTGATAGTATTACTTTGGCTTCACAAATTTGGAGAAATTTTAAGTATCAGTTGGAAACATGCTTATATATGCATAGTGAACTTTTGTGAAAAAAGCTCTGTTGTGAGCAGAGACATTTGAGTTGAAAGTCATTTTCATCATTTTCTTCCCATACCCTGAATATACAGGGTGATTAGATAGCCACTCATATATTTTTAATTAATTGCTTTGGTTCCAACAAAGATAGAAACTTCTTTCTTGCTGCATTTGAAAGCCATTTCCATGGAATTCCTTAAATACTCTAATTACACTTTGACAAAAGCTCTGGAATTACCATTACTTTCTAGGGTTGTGTGAATGCACTTCATCCACCCTTGTAATCTTCTCCAGAGTCTGGGCTGTTGAAGGTCATCCACTTCAGGCTATTTCTTTTAATGAACCAATTACCATCAACTTGTGTGGCAGTTTTTAATTGTCTTGAGATCAAGAGTTTCATATTTATGATTTTCACACCACTACCACATATGCACCTAAACTACTGACCCTCAAACCTCATACCATGCTGCAATTTTGGTGTGGTCACTAACAGTCAACTGCTGTGCCACTTTTTATAATACAACCACTATACTTGTGGGTAAAAAATTCCATAAAAATTACTTTAAAGTGAAAGAAAAAAGTTTCTGTCCTTATTGCAATAAAAGTTTCAAAAATGTTTAAAAAGAGGGGTGATTTTCCATAATCTCTTGCCTGCGATCAGAAAGTGTAGGAGGGGGTATGACCTTCACAATAAGTAATCAAGTCTGTCATGCCTCCAACATGGAAAATGACATCAATACATGGATGAATGCATCAAGACAGCTCTAATTTTTTCGTCAACATTGAGAATCAGTTACCAAGTCCCATTCAGGTTTTACTTTTTCTTTTTTCTTTCTTCTGCAAGTTCTTCTTTAGACATTTGCAATGGCAACTTGCAACCCCTACTGATGGCCAATGATGCCATAATAGCAGCTGATATTGGTGGTTGCCCATCGATATACATCGGTACAGCCCTAATAAATACCTGTATACCAGGTGGCCCAAAAAAAAAGGGTCCTGTTTGATGCTTTATAAAACCTGCTGCACATCATTTAGGTTTGTGATCTTTTTAAGTAAAGCAAGTGATGAGCTACTTTTTGCAGACAGTTACTTATTCTGATACAATTTTTGGCAAAGCAATTGTACCATTCTTGAATGGCAATTGTTGGGGACAAAATAATAGTGATTCTCATGCCTAATCTTAGAGCAATTACATGGCAGTCACCACAGTAAGAATGACTAGGGGCAGCAAAAATTCAATGAGAACTATTGTGTGCAAGAAAAAAGAGGTTTCTACTGTTTGCTGTACATAGTTCAGAGTTTGAAACTGTAATCTATAACTCATTTCTTTGCAAAAGTAACAGTAACACAGGCCAACTTCAGCCTGCAACTTGAACCATGGAAGTGAATCGCTTCTTCAACTGAATCAGGCCATAGGTTTCATCTTGAGAAGTCATTCTATCATGACATGCACGAGTTTTATATGCCACACCCAATGCCCCCAATATACAGGGTGATTATAAAGATACTTCTGTACATTACAGCTTAATATCTCAGAAACAGTATGATACAGGAAGCTGAATTTTCACAGGGGTGTTATGGGGACCATGCGCTCAAAGATGCCACAGTTATCACATTTTATAATCAGGTGTGCCACTGTGACTTAATGTCTCACTAATGACAGCAACTGTTCAATATGTACTCCTTCAGTATCCAGAATGCATAATGAATAAGTTTCTTCAGAGGGACTGCAATGTTCTAGTACTGTTAGACTCTGTATCTATGAGTCTCCTGAAACAGGTTCTTGTGCTATGCAGGACACTCACAAACAAAATCCATATAGGGGAAAACAATGAAACTTGAACACTTCAGGAATGTTCAACTTGACTCGAACACTTAGGCTAAAATTGTCGACTGCTTGTTTGACGTCCTCTCAGGCTGAATAATCTTGCTATAGTTTCCCTGTTGTATCGAAGATGCCGTGGTTTTGATTTCCTATAATATTTTGATAGTGAGAAGAAGTACAAGTGCAAAACCTGAGCACGCTCAGATATTGGATATGAAACAATTGTGTTTCAGTTGTAGGGTATCTCCAGGAAAATTGTTCCATAGAACTATGTGTTCATTCACAATTTAGTGTAAGAGCTCCTTTAGGAATATGTTTATGGTAGGATAATATCCCACCAATTTGGATTGATTATGTTGTAAGACCTGAGCACATGTTCAGTTTAACGTTGCAAATCTATAGGTTGATGAAAGAAAAATGGGAAGGGTCACAAAAGGAACATCAGAAACAGAACCGTACAAAGATCTCAAGAAATTTCTGATTCTGATGTTGATAATACAGATGATCCAGCCAGGTAAAGCCCACCTCCCTTTGTGTATTTTGATTGAACATTTGCTGGTTACTCTTTTGGTTTCTGTTTCTGCTTTTCCCTTCTGATTGTGTTTTATTCTATTAGTAATGTTAAACCCCACTTACTTGTGTTCATGTTTCAAAGCTATAATCATATTCCAAAAAATAAAAACCTTTGATTCCTCATATGCTTGCTTTTCTCTAATGGAAGCAAAAAGGGATGGCAGAATGTGTGAACAGGTTTGGCAAACTTTAGTCAATAGGGTAGCTGAGGCTGGCTATACAGATTACAGAGTGAAAGGGAGAAATTCAGCATTTGAGTCACAGAGTGCATCCATTCGTCTCAGTGTGTAGCCATTCAACTCAAGATGCAGTGTGTACGATTATGGCATGTCCCATTTCAAGGGGCCATGCACACCCACTTTCTGTCACTGAAGATTTATTTCTACCATAACTCGACCCTTGAAAACAGGTAGTTTCAGAGAGGGGCGAAATAAAATGGTCACCCTCTGGTCTGGCCGTTATGGGCTGAGAGAAATGCCAGATTTGATAATTGGATGGAAAAATGGCTTGAGTTTCATTGTTTTCCCCTAATCACATTCAGAGACCAGAATGTGGTTATATGGACTTGCTGTGAGGTTTTTCAGCCGAGTCAAGGACAGATAGGGTTTTGATTCCAAGACATGTGAATCATGTTGAAGTGCCAGATGTGTGAACCATGTCTGAATCAGCAAGGCCCCACTTCAAGGTCATGATGAGTCACATATGAAGCATCAATAATGTAACCATGCAGGCAATGTTTTCATACATTGATACATTCATCAATGAAACCAGGACCCATACTTCCTTACTCATTCTGTTGGCATTGGCTGTTGGTCTTAGAATGTGGCTATTTGGATTTTGTTTGTGTGTGTACTACATACCCCTACAACCTGTTTCAGAAGACTCACAGATGCAGAGCCGAACAGTACTAGAACATTGCAGTCCCTCTGAAGAAACTTATTCTTAATGCATTCTGGACACTAAAGGAGCACATATTGAACAATTGCTGTGATTAATGAGAAATTAAGTCTCAGTGGCACCCCTGATTATAACATGTAATCAGGCACCTTTGAGCGCATGGTTCCCATAATACCCCCTGTGCAATTTCAGCTTCCTATGTCATCCCATTTCTGAGATATTATAGGTTTAAGTGCATAAGTTTCTTTATAATCACCCTGTATAAGATATTAAGTATTTGCCCCTTTTCCATGCATAACATCCCAACCATTCCTCAAAATGGCTCTCAACATGCTATATGGAGATCCCTGGCCTATGGAAGTGAAAAGAAGAGGGCATACTTACCATTTTTCCTTCACCTTTAATCCATCCAGGACCTGAGGAATATGAAACACAGAATCTTATTCAACATCCTGGGTGCAGTAATCACCTCTCTCAAGAACAGTGTGAACCTTGTTTGCTTATTAGTTATGAAGGCCTGACCTGAGACCATTTGGTTCCAGATCTTCCTGGGCAAGAATCTACTTTGAGTGATATAAAAGTCTTGGTAGTCCATGTTTACTTCAGAACAGAAGGTTGTGAAAAGATACTTGATTATCTCATGGAGTGAGGTAGTCTGCACAAGCATCAGTCTACCAACTAGCAGTGCTCCATGAGTTTCTTCACCTCAATGCAAAATCTTCAAATGCATCCCCAATCAAGTACAATGAGATGGTCTCCACCTCTTCAGCACTGCTGTAACTGATCTTGAGACGTTCAGATTTGAGCCAGGGGAACAGGAAAAGTTTAAAATGTAGCTGTTAGGGGCCAATACCACCTTCAGCAGCACCAAAGTGGTGGAGAACAATTCCATTCATCTGCTTAGATGAACTAACTCATTGAGTGCTGCCAATTGGTAATTGATGTGTGTAGAGATAATACCACACTATAACCTTTACAGATCCAATCAGCATTCAAATTAAATGCCTTTATTTTCCTCAGGTCTGAGGAGGACAAGACAATCAGTATCTTCAAACAACTTTCTGTTCTTAACACATTGGCGACAATGCGTCCTGATGCCAGGATGCAGATTTTTTTTTCTGAACTCTGCTTCCAAAAAGGTACAGATGTACCAAGTTTCAGATTTCTAACCTCTCTAGAACATGGTTAGAATTATGCAAAAAAAAATGTTTTCTGGGACCATGCGTCCTGATGGCAGGACGCATTTTTTGAAAAAAAAAAATGCGCGTGGTCCCACGCGGTGGACAAGCAAAAATAGGCTGGTCGTCAACGTGTTAAATAAAACACCTTTGTTCTTCCCACAGAACTAGAACTTCTGAAATTTATCCTCATACAATCAACATTTCAATGACACTTGATCTAAATATAGAACTCTTCATTGTGCAGTTGATACTTATGAACATGGTTAGTGTAGCTCAGAACTGAACTGTTGACTGTCAAGGATAGAAAGAGGGAATGACCTGGTTGAGGAGACATGTGTAATTTGGATGCTTCCACGGAGAAGCTGAATCACACAATTCTGGGATGGGCCAAGAGAGGTGCAATAAGGACTTGGTTGAGGATTCCACTGCTTGTTTCACTCTCTCCAAGTATTCATTGTACTTCTGGGACAGCATTTCCGACATCACATTTGCCTGAAGGGAAAAAGTTTAATGGCCTACTTAAAGTTGGAAAGGTTAAGAGGCATAAGTAATGAGCTTGGCAAGTTCAGTCCAGTAGTGGGCCTCCTTACACTGAAAAGTGATGCAAAAATTTTTTTTTTATGTTCCACTTTGATGACTTGAGACTTAAAAGTTTTGAATGACATATATTGCAATTATGATTACATGTAATTTCTATAAATATTTTACCAAAATTGCAAGTTCCTCAGGCATTAGCTTTATTTCAAAAATCACTTGCTTAGTAAAGTATTTACCTTTAAATTTATAACTTTGCATTGATATTAATTTTAAAATCAGGTGCTATTTCTGATATTATTTATTACAGAATCATCACATAAATGTATTATACATGTTTGTATCCTTGTAATGTTTTAGAGTTCCACATATGGCCTTCACCGTGAGGATTAACATGCAGGGTTTTTCAAAGTGACTGCCCACAATTATAATTGAATGATAACTTGGCCTATGTTAATCAGATATGACCCTTTTTTAGTGATGAATAATGGCTGATGATATAAGTTAATAATAGGTTATCATTTCACCTATCATGCAAAAGTTTATGCATTGCATTAACCCTTTGTTACATGACCTCCACTTTTGTGGACATTTTCTAAAATTCATTTTGCAGCCCCGATTCTCCAAAACTCTCACTAAACATCACTCCCATATACAGTGAGTTCCATTTAAAACACAACCCAACAAGAATCATGTACTATGGTACAAAAATGAAGTCTTGTCTTGTCTTTGAGAAGGTGGTGGACATTTTCAGCATCTGCTGTGAAGCTGTTCTGTATGTTCTGTAATATTCTTCCTAACAAACAAAAACTATCAAATAACTCGTTTGTCTTGTTTTATTGCTGTTGTACTTTGGGTTGCGTTTTAAATGGAACACCCTGTATACAGACATCTCAACTATCAGAATAAATATAGAGTCAATGTACCCTGTCACTCTCCAGCATCTCCCACATGTTTCTTCTTTACTACATCATTCTCAGGTGGCAAAAAGTGAGGGTCTCCCTTATTATTTTATTTAATATGCAAAGAGCGATTTTTGGAATTTTCACTTAAGCACTAGAATGCACTTCTGAGAGAACAAACTTCCATGTGGACCAACCACATTCCTCATGAGCATGCTATTCATTGATATAAGTGTTGAACTTGTTTGTCCACATTTGCAGACATGATGCAGGAGGAAAACTGAATGTCATGGAAACCACATTTGAACATTGTGCATATCTGGGCAGAATGTAAGGCCTATTGCTTTCAGGAACTTGGAAGAGGCCTGAGACATCACACTTGAATCTTCCTCTCCCATTCATCCTCTAAAAATGAATCCTTTCCAGATTTACTTTTTTGCTCATGTCTTGTTTTGTTTTCAGGTAAACATACTCATTGACAACATAAAAGTATGCCCAAGAAGGAGTTGGGCGATCCTAATGAAATTTGGTACACAAGCTCGTACTGGTGTACCATAAAATTGATTGGAGTTTCAAGGGTGTGGAATGGATGTTCACAGAGAAACAGGGCCAAAAAGAAATCCAATTTAAAAAAAGGCTATGGGGTCAAACTAATCATCCATGCTTTCTGTGAAGAGGAGTATTGAATGGTAGTGAGATGAACAGAGAAGTCAGATGTATCACTTCATGAATTCAGCTAGCAACTCTTTTCTACATGCCATGTCCAACCTCATTCATGGCTTGTCAAAAATTGATTTCTCAGCTTTGAAGAACAGAAAGGAAATGGGAACTAGAGCAATGCAGTAAACCAGTATTTAAATTGTACTGTGGTATTTGGTTCTCATGACAATCATACCGACCTCCTTCTACATTTTTTTATGTTATCACCATGGTATGAAAATTGTGGAATACTACCCATGTTCATACCATCACCAGGGTTTGAAAACTGGTGGACACTGCCTCTCATCATATTGTGGCCATGTTATGAAAACCACAGGACACTCCCACTGACCATACTGTCATCACAGCACTGCATCTAGTGCCATTTCTATCACTTAAAATACCTTGCAAACTAACCTCCCCATCTCCATCCACAGAGACACTACCTCAGGGAAAACCAAAGCCTACCAGGAAGTCAAAGGATTGTAATTAATCTGGACTCAAGGACAAAGATCCATAATTTGTGGATTTGACTAATGCCTTGACTGTGCCCTCAGCTTATTGTGCCTCAGCACTCAATACCTTCACCATGTCTTGTGAAGATGTGAGATGGGCAATATTGTAGACCCAGATATCATCACCTAACTGAAAATGATGTCGTGTGATTGGAGATATTTCTCCTAACACAAGCTCCAGCTAGATTCAATCACAATAGAAAGACTCACTCTCCTCATGGGATTGTTTCTGGTAGTTCGCAAGTAAAGCAGCCAGCCACCTCCCCTCCTTGCCAGTATCACTAAAATACCACACCAATAAGCCATGGTATACCAACAGAGAAACTAATCTCATACTGCAATGCCCTTCTGGGAACTCTGGTCAGTGTCACACCTTGACCTCAACTGAGGTAACATGCACATTATGTTGGAATTCATGAAGGTTGGCACCAGTTGATGTCTTTCCCTCAAGAATTTGAAGGTCAAAGGTACATTTTCCATAAAAGTTTACCCCAACATAAATTCTACCAAAAACAAACTCAACCATTATCTTGGCCTTAAGTGTCTTACTACATAATTGCCTCATGACAATGTTGAGAGTACAAATGCTGAGAAGTAGGATTTGTGAAAAGTGGGTTCATTATGATGAAAAGATTGGAAAATGAATGTTGTTATCTAAACTCACAGGAGAAGATGAAAGAGCTGAAAAGAAGGCAGAAAGGAGAGTTTCGATGAACTGGTTGAGGGAGAATCTCATGATGCCCAGAGACTGGATTGTGCATGGACTGGATGAGATCAGCCAAATCAAGTGATCTTTCACCTGCAAAAACACATAGTAGTTTCAAGTTCACAACATCAGTCTCAGTTCACTTTCATGCAAAGGAATCTTTGATCTTGGCTGACAAAACCCAAAAGAGACAGAGGAATATAAAATACTAATTGTATAGAGACATGACACCTTTACAAACTCCAGGAAACCACAGTTCAACAATGTGCAGGAGAAAATTAGGTGTCCCATTTGTGTTGCTGAATTTGGAGAAACACACATCTGACATGCAATTAAAGGGGTATTGGTTATTTTTTTCAAAGGGAGAGATGCTGTCCTGAGATTTCTCAAAACATGAAAATGGTAGTTTGATGGGTTGGAAAAAATGGAATTTCCGATAGACTGCTGAAAAAGAAAAGATGAGTAGCAAGCAAGATCAATTTTATTTCTTTTTCAAATTGGAACATTTTTGCTCCATACATTACCAACATTACCAGTATTTGACTTTCAACAGGTGATGGAATCCCCACAAATATGACAGTGCAGTATAAGACTGATTTACCTGAAAAAAACTGTTACTTGAGGATTACATGCATATATCATAAATATGATAAATATACATTTTTTAAGTTGCTGAATCCAATCTAATGGTGTCACTGTTTGAGCAGATGGAATGCTAAGCCTTTCATGGCAAAGTTTTATGATAGTCTGTTCACCTTGCATGAGGCCTATGAATGGTCTTTCATTGGTCATTCAAAGAATCTTTTTAAGAGTCTCTTGTGGGCTCTGCAGGAGATGTGTTCAAACCAACAGGCTTGAGATCTCTCAATACAAGGAAATAGTTACTTGATATGAAGGTTCTTATAGATGGTGGCACTCCACATCTCACTCAGTGTGACATCAGCCACCTGCTGCAAGAACCTCCTTATAACAGCTCATATCCATGACCTTATCCTTTTGGTCTTTACCTAATGTTCATGAGTGCAGGTGAAGGTGAGGAGGCAAACACTTTTAAAAATTGGAATTTGTTCCTCCTTGGAAATGTCACTTAAACTCCACCTGTTCCAGTGGGTTCCCCTAACATGTAAGGTGCACTGAACAGGACTTCTCAAAGGGATCATAACTTGCATTTTGTCCTCAAAATGCAAGTTATGATCCAAAATGCTCAATTTTATTCTGGCTGCAGTACATTCTGAGTAAAACTAATCAAAGCCCTGAAGCTCCTGTCAAGACTGAGCCAAAAGGACAGCATTATTGGCAAAGAGATGTATATTTACCTCAACACCACTGATGCTGACATCCTTGAGGCTCAGACTATGCCTGCATATCCTAATTAGGTACACAAAGAATGGGAAAGGGGAAAGGGTGCAATCCTGCCAGAGCCCAACATGTCTGAGGGAGGGAGTCTGAACTCATCCTGTTTCCTTGGACACAACTCCAGCAATCATTGTACAAAGAATGAATGGCCTACAGTTATAACCATTAATCCCATACTCCTGCATCACTCTCTACAATTTCTCTCAGAGCATACAGTTGAATGCCTTTTTGAGATCCACACAGTACAAACCACTTTGGCATACTCCCAATGTCTCTTGAGAATATGAAGTAGAGTGAAGAGCTGGTCCTGTGGTGCTGCACCCTTCATGAAATCTGCACTGTTCCTCTTGAATGACACCTCCAATGATTGCTTAAGCTCTCATTTCAAGCACTTCAGCACAGTTCCCACCAGGTGTGCGAGGAGGAGAGTGATTCCACAGTAATTGGTACACTCCCTTGAGTCCCCCTTCTTTACCCCTTTCATGGGTATGCTCTGAAGTCAGTCTTGCCCTCAGTGGCCTGCCATGGTATACACTGTCGAGGTTTAAGTGTAATGTACCTTAATTGCTTGTAAACTGGTTGATGTATATTTTCCCAGAATAATTCAGCAGATTAATGTGTGAAAATTGCAAGTGAATGCAAAATGTCATTTTGCTAAAAAAAAACAACTCAATCTGGGGGAGTGCACTGGTTCCAAAAAACTCACCTGCAAAAGGGTTAAATGAGAAACCACCACAATGGTCTGCCAATCCATGGGTGCTATCCTTGATCCCCAATTGGTTCAACATGCCCAATGCAACCACGAGTACCCATTGGTGCCAAATGCTTTCAGTGCTTCTACCTGGATTTTATTCACACCAAGAGACTACTCTTCAAGCTGATGGGCTCCAAGGCTCCATACATAGAGTCTGCTGTGGGTGAATGTAAGAGCTCTCCCAAATGTTCCTTCCACTTTCAAAGTATTTCTGCTTCAGCAACAAGGACCATCTTGTTTCATTCCTTCATGACACAGAGAGTATGTTACTTGCCTTGCTGGAGCCTTCCAATGAATGATTTACCAGAACATCTTGTTGGCAGTGTGGTAGCCATACTCTATTTCTCAGCTGAATTTATTCCATACTTCCTCTTTGGCTCCAGCTTCAGCAGCAGCTATGCATGCCTCCCTGTAACACACCCTAAAAGGGTCTGACCTACAGGACACATAAGCCATATAGCCTGCCTTCTTAGTAGCCAGCCACATCTCTGGTGTTCATTAGGGAATCCAATTCATGTTACTGTGTGCCATTCCAATTCACTTTTTGTGACACACTTTCACCACTGCAACCAAAACGATGGATCTAAATAGATCACATTTGGTCTCTTTGTCAGAAATATGGTGAAGGATTCAAATAATCAATCTGAATGCTTAAAAAAATCACTATGTTACAAAAAATATGCAAAATAGTTCACTTCTTAAACCAATTCATTTGCCCAAGGTGCACTACAAGAACATAAAGTTGCCATGTTCCACCTATTAAAGTTAAAAAAGGTTAGTGTAAAAAACACCTGCATTAAAAGAAAAAGCACACACACAAAACCATGCAAATGCATGAATAAAATCTTCAAGAGTACACTGGGTATTTGGTATTCTTGGGAGCCTACTCTGATCAGTGTATTCTATTTCTCTCCTACTTTTCTTAAACAAACTTCTGTGGAAATATTTTGCATCGACTTTCAACTGCCGGTCTTTCATCCCATTTCTCCCTTGTTGGTGTCAGCTGAGACCCTTTCCTGAATGTTGTCAGGCAACACTACTATTGCCACTTTCTATTTTGGCACACAGCCCAGCAAATTAGTTTTGGCAAAATTGTTACCTCTGTCCAATAAGGTTCTATCTGACATTTCCATGAAAAATGAGATGATGAAATTGAAATAATCCACATGGAAAGTAGATTCATAATATCTGTTGATTTTGTGTAAATTCCCCAAGGAAACACTGGAATTAATTATTTTTCAAAGTCCTATCTGCCTGGGATTCAAACCTTCAGCTCAACAAGGTTCTACCTGCAGTTACTGGACAGGGGGCATCAACAAGACTCTGGAGACTTCTCTTGATTGGTTTTTGAACCAGGTTAGGTGGGCCCTCCTTTCATCATCTGTCAATCACATCTCTTGCAATAGTTAAAACCATTCAATGAGACTTTTCCTAAAAACTAAATCATGATCAAGGAATATAATGGCATAGGTAGAGGAAAAATTTTAATTTTGGCTTCAATTGATGGCAATGTGCAACTTTAAAGGAAATTCTCAGAACTCTAGGATTTTTTATGAAGACAACCTTAAAAAAAATTGGACACTCTAAACAATTTAATAAGTGCTTGGAAGGTTTTAAAGATGAGATGGGAAGAGATGGAAATAGTATTGCAAGTCCTATCACTCAAATTATTCTAGAAGTTTTGAGGAAACTTCATGATGTGAAGCACTTATCCACAAGGAGAGATGAGAACTGCGCTCCTTGAAACAGAAATGCCATCAGGTCTTTTGCTGGGACTCACCTCTTCAGCCAATTTCCTAATCTTGAAAAGATAACCATGAAATCTGTTTGCCCCCAGTCAATTATGTTTGCCCCTGGGACAGCAAGCATTCATTCATCAAGATGATGCTGAGAATCCCTTAATTTTAGACTCTTGTCTCATTTTTATGAGTAATTCTTGCTGTGAACAAGATGAATCATAAAAAAATTATTAGGATGAGTCAACTGACTTCAAAGACCCACAGCAAAAAATCATAATTTCATAGAGATTCCATTTTTTAAAGTCTGCCAGCTACAGCAAGTTGTATTGTAGCATTTGCTGTCAGCATTTGCAATACACCAAGCACAAGGCAAGGTGCACATCCCCTTGACCTGGACAACTAGCCAAAAATGTGTAACATATTTTTTTTTAGAGCAGGGCAGGGGGGAAGGGGTGTGTTGATCTCAGAATTGGGAAAAAAACAGGATCTTAAAAAGTATGCTGAAATGGATGCCTGAAGAGACATTATCTATTACAATGATTTGCTGAATTGAACATCAACTTGGAAGTGTCAGATGTTATCCTATGAATCAGGCTAAACCTTGAAATAAAGCATATGCATGAAGGTTGACTGGTATTCACGCTAATTTTAGTCAAAGGCTATTGGGAGATAGTGTTGAAGCCAGATAGAACCCTCTATCATAGGCCTTCCAAGAAGAAGTACCTACTAGAGGGCTACATGGTTCTACCTTGCTTACAACATAATAGAATATACAGAAACTGAAATTGATTGAGGCATTCGCATCTTCCTTTCCAAGTCTTTACAAAGTACCAGGTCTAATACAGTAAATGGTTTCATCAAATAATGTCACCTACAACCTGCATGATCCTCTAAAGTTTGGCCCTTCATTTCTCAGGTTAGACACACTGTCACATAGACCCTTGCTGAACTGAGGTAACAAAATGCTACATGTCTTCTTTTTTTAAGTTGTTCAAACATCTTGTGCCAACTCCAGTTGCCATCAGCAACCTGGAGGCTACATTATTTAGTTTATCCTTGGATCACTGAAAATAGATCCAAACCACCACACCGCATGAAAGGCTGCATATGCAAATTCACCTCTGCATGAAACAGGGAGGAAATTATAAGAAAGATACTGGATTCAAGGAAAGCAAAATTCTACCTGGAGAGAAGCCTGGAGAGAATCAAGATGATGATAAATGGGGGCAACACAGAAGACAGAGATTAGCCCCTTCTCCACCATTTGTTGAAATGGGAATTGGGATACCAAGACACGGGAGTCATTAGAGGATGAAGGAAAGAGGAAAAGTAGGATGGGAATGGGGATGGGGATGTCCCCACAGGTCAAAACAGTCTCCAGGTGTCTTTGGCATTCTCTCACTTCCTCCTCAGACAAACAACCCTCAAGGATCCACAGCCATGCAGATGCCCCTATACCTGTCCCCTCACTTCCTTCTCCACACACCACAGACTCCACCATGACAAAGGAATGAGGACCGCTAGCCTGAAACAGGAGGATGGAACAACTGATGGTCAACTTGACCAACACACTCACAGTGAATCTCACAAGAGGAATAATCACCAAATGGGGATGGGGCATCTTGTGAGAGATCCAGTCTCGTGCCATGCTCTGAGATGGGTAGAACGAGAGGAGAAGCTTCCAAGGAGATGACTCACACCTCCCACTGGCTCTCAACAATGCCTGCATGTCGAATGCCCTTTTTGACAACTCTCTCTCGATCTCAGCTGCCACCATCTGAGCATCTGATTCCAATGTAGAGTATTCCTTCAGTCATACAGTCAAAAAAGGAGAAGGAAGATGGGCCATGCCAAGTACAGGTAGAAAAGGGATGAGAGGTTCCTTTTTGGGACTTATAACAACACCCTCAGGTTGCCACTGTATCTATACTATATTTCTGAATGTTTGTGTGTGTGTCTGTCTGTCTGTCCTTTATGCACAGCCATGTCTCTGATCCCAGTCTGACCAAACATTACATGCTTCCTTATTTGGTCTGGGGATGGTCATAGGCCAGGTGACATTCCAAAATTCCATGCCATTTGAGTGCTGACTCTCAAGCATACAAAATACCCAGAATTTCATAGGGGCAACATCAGATTTCACAGGAATATCATCAAAAGCAATAGTGGTTATCCCAGTTTTTGCAGCCATCTTCAAGAAAAATGCTTAGGATGTTTTGGCAGTGTGACTGGATACCACATCCTGGTGGATTCCTCATCTTTCTGTTTTTGGTAGTGAAAAGACACAGTTCTTTCCATAATCAGAGGAGTAGATTCAAGCTTCATTTAATGTGGTGTGACCAAAAAAAGTTCCTGGACTGACTTTTTTATGACATGATCATGACACTTACTGGCTGACTCACTTACTGACCCATTGGTATTGATCTCCAAGACCATCTTTTGGTATCGCTACCAGGCCATTCTATAGAACTACAAGATAATGAAAGGTTCATTTCAAATGGGAGGAGTAGTGCAAAGGCAAATTGATCTCCCACATCAAGGATACAAGTACAAAAGCAAAAATGGGTCAGAACAGGAAGAGAGAACACCTGACCATCTCATATCTATGTTTTACAAGCAAACTGTCCACTTAGTACCAATGTTGACCAACAGATAGTCTGTTTTCGATTGTTTTAACTTTAACAGGAAAAATTCTTCAATATGTACACACGATAACACATGTATTTGAGAATATGGCTCTGCACAAATATGGTATGCAAATGGTGCAATAATTCTAATGCCAATGGGTTAACTGCAAAGTAGCCCCTTTCTGAATGTATACATTTCAGTGCTCCTGCATTTTTTTGAAGCACCTCTGGTAGCCCTCTTTCTTTATGTCCTTTAACATCGCTGTTGCAGTAATGGCTAAAATGTCATCAAATCTCTTCCCTTTCAGTTCACTCTTCAATTTCAGGAGCAAAAAAGATGCATGGTGCCAGAAGGAGAGTACAGTGGGTGCTCCAGGAATGGAATGTCATGCTTCATCAAAAACTCACAGAGAAGGTGGTTTGTGCTGGTACAATGTTTCACTGAAAGATCCTATAGTGCTTCTTGCCCTGTGCAACTGTGGAGGGATGATGTAATACCACTTGTGTTATAGCTTCAGAGCACTCAAGAGTTGCAAGCTAAAGTGAAAGTTGAATATTTTGTTCAAAGATATTGCTGTAAAAAATTTCAGTCTGGGGAACTTTTTGATCACACCATGTACTTGTACCCTGTCCCTTGCCAGGTGGAGCTTGTACGTCTTCCTCTCCCTGATGCGATTTTTTAATCACATGGAAATGCAATGCATGTGCATGAAGTCATCATTTGAAAATGTAATGCTTATGCACGAAATTTCAGGCACTTCCATGCAAATAGGAAACTATCTGGTCCATGCACATGTATATATCAAAAAACTTTTAAAATCCTGCCTTTCTTTACTTTGTAATGTTGCAGGATAGGTTTAATAGCACACTTTTTTTTCCCAGATGTGACCTCTATGTTATGTGTTGAAGAGTTGTCTATTATTTTGCATCGTTGCATGATATGGATTTTTGAAGTTTCTTAGTAGACACCAGGTGTCCGGCCTGGAAAATTTTGTAGCATTTGATGGAAAGGTCTGGAATTTCATGCATAAGCATTACATTTTCAAATGATGAAAACATACATGACAACATCCTGTTAAGTTTTCATGATGATCCATCCATGCAAACCGACTAAGAAAAAACCAAATGTGAGTTCTTTCCATACAAATCACATCCCTGTTCACTCTGCATTTATATCATTTTGACAAAAATTTTCCATAACTCAAGCATGGGTAGTTGTAAGCACATGAACTTTTAAGAGCTCTTGAAGAACATGTAAGGCAAAGCTGCCTTACATTTTTAGTCAGTTGATTTAAAAATATGGATTTTATAAAAAAATTTAAATTGGCTACCATTCTTGACCAACCCTGTATAATCTACAGGGTGATCCACAATTGTCTCCCCAAAAGTGAAAACTCATTATTCAGGAAGTATACATCTGATTTCAATGATATATGACTCAAACGATAGCCAATTCAATATATTTTTATAGTGGAAAATTTTAGCATTCCATTAAAAAATTGAACAAAGTTACACCATAACAAATGAAAGTACCCATATCATGCAACTAAAGCCTGTAAATGTCACAATACCTTCTGAAAGTCACAATTCATTCATGGGTTTTTCATGCAATGCGAGATTGTCTGTGTCATGGGTGACCTCAGTATCCTGCAGAAGATGAATATTGCCATTTGGTTTGATAAATTGAATAGAGCAAATTTGTGCAGGGAAAATTAGGAAATTTCTTCAGTTTAGGTCCAAATGCCTCAGTTCCTGATGAGATCATGAAGGCAATTCATAAGAGGTTTCTGAACCTGAAGAGATATGACAACCTAGATATGCTGAAACAGGCCATTAGAGATGCCTTCGCCACAGCAGGCCTAGAGACTATTGAAAGAATTCTGCTGGCATTCGAAGAGAGACTACACCAAGTCATTGAAAATTGTGGAAGTCACATTGAACATTAATGATTTGGTGGCTTTCATTTGTAAGGATGTAACTTTGCTGAAGTTTCTTATGGAAGGCTGCAATTTTTGACAATGAAAACATATTGAATTAGCTATCATTTGAGTCTTATATAATTGAAATTGGATGTATACTTCCTGAGTAACAAGCTTTTACTTTTGGGGAGGCAATTGTGGACCACCCTGTATATCACAGTAAGCCTTTTAGGAGCAACTGGTCAAAAGATAAATCTGTAGGTTGTGCTTTGTGAGGTAAACGAAAAAATACAGAGAATGATATCAAAAGAAGACAAAGCATGGGATGTCATTTTAGAAATAAGAAAATGACCATGAGGTAGGGAGGGGTGAAATGCTGACCGAGGATCCGAGTCCATGAAGAGGACATGGTAGCAGAGGACTGAGATTGACAGGGAGAGATGGAATGCCAAGCAGAGGACTGGTCCATAAGAGTGTCCAACGAGGGATGAGAGGGAAAAGCTAATGTACAACTTCTCCTCTTTGCTGTTCTCTCTCTCCATCTCTGCCAAAATCTCTTCTTTACTGCTCTCTCTCCCATCACTCTGCTCTTTGCCCTACTCAAAGCCAAGAAATTTCCATGACTATAGCAAGCACTGGAAAGGATATGAAGCAAGGCTCATCACCATCACCTGATAGATGTTTCTGTCATGAGGATGAAGCCAGACAGAAGGTATGTTTCAAGGAAAAGAGTCTCTTGAAGGAGCTCTTCAGTGAGTTGTTGAGAGGCAGAGGATTCTTGGAGCAATTCTTCCACTCCTACCCTCACACTATACAGCACTGCTTCTTCTGCAAGCTGCATGCAATAGCAAAGGCAAAGGATTCTCAAGTCAGATATGAGGAGAATCAGAAGTCACTTTCACTGCAGAACAGTCAGGCCAAGCAGATATGATTAAGTGATCAAATACAAAAGCACCTTTTGTTTGAGAAATTTCAGGCTGAAAGGAGAGTTAGATGGAGACTCTCTCCAAAGAGCACAGAGTCAGTTCAGTGTAGATTGAGGCCTCCAAAAAAATATGAGGAGGCAATGAACCATCTCATACTTCACTTGGCATGACAGGTTTAAAGAAGTAAGTGTACTTTTGAAATCAAAGCAATGTCAGCACATCATTTTCAAAATTCACCATCACATTCAAGCACCAGATTACAAGCAAATTACCATGATTACCACATCACTCCGTAACCTTTGCAAAACACAAGCTCAAAGAAGCAAACCACCTCTCCCTCCCTGTATTTGCATAGGCCATATTTGGGCATTTGGAGTGGATTTTGCAAGTGAACCAGGGAGAGGATGCAAAAAAAGTTTGTTAAAATGATATGATGTAAGTGCATTTCAGATAGGATGGCAAAAATCTTCCTGTCATGACTGAATAAAAGAGAAAATCTCCCAGAACCCACAGTTATCATATTTGGATTTCATACCAACTCAGTGTACTTGCAGATAGAGGCAGATGCAAGTGTAGGTAGGCCTACAACAAAAATAATTCCTGTTGCTGGTGTTGTATTATGTCCAATATCCAATTTGTCATAACCTCAATTTGCTGGAGAAAGAGAATGTGATAGGATGAGAACTAGCGGCAGTGATTTTGCATCTTCTCAACATTTTGGTTACTGAACTTGCAGAGAGATTGCTGAATAAGTTCTTCACCTTTCCTCTTCAACCACACCACACCACAATCATGGACATTTTTGTTAAGAATGTTAAAACTCTCCCATGAATGCAACTGGAAGCATGGAAAAAATTGAGAGAGGAAAAATGCCATAGATATGAGGAGAGGATGAGAGGAAGGGAAGGGGGGGGGGGGGGGGGGGAAAGAAGTTGAAACATGTACATTGATCCTCATTCATGCCCTCAGTCTGTTTTTCATTTTCCTCCTATGCCTTCAATGCAATTGGAGACAATTCTTGATAAAAATGAACTAACTTAAGAAAATCATAATCAAACTAATCAGAAGGGACTGAGAAATCAGCAATTGTGCAACATTCAAATCAAATTAAATAGCCAGTCTACAGCAAGTCCCTGTCATCAATGGCATGATTTAATTGGAAAGGATAGCTTTTAAGTTATGGATGGGTCTGTCCACACCAACTGGTCTAAAGATTTTAGAAGGAAATGCCCCTAAATATGCGAATATTACTTTTGCCACAAAAGTTCATCATCTCTTTCCCCAGAAGGCATGAACGATGGGGAATATTACATTGAAAAATGAACGATTTCTGTATGCTCATTATATACTAGCAAGTTTGTTTGCACGAAGGGCAAAAAAACTCGCTACGGTCTCAGCTTTGGTGCTCCATTATCTAGGATAGTGATCAATTCATTTTTGAAGTGGCAAAAACGTATTTAAAATATGTCCCTATCAAAATATGTGCCATGAAGGGACATAACAAAGATTTTTATTGAAATCAGTACTCTGATGATGTCTTGTGTGTTTAACTTCAGATCTCTTCATGTGCCCCCATTTGTCAGAGTAAAAAATAAATCTTTAAATGCTTCCCTCACATGATCTGCTCTGAGGGGACATATTTCATAAGTATGATTTTTTCTGCACTCAGCTATCGAATGGGTAGGATAAAATACCCAGCGATGGGCCAGTCCCCAGTGATGGGCAACAGCACATAAAAATCCCAAGAGCTAAGATTCCATGGTATGCATACACCTGTTGTGACAAGGGCTTGCAGCATGCAAGCACATACTCACTTCAAAGGTATTCATGCTACAAATGCCTAATCTTCTGAATTTTCCTGCATCATGGCCCATCACTGAGTATGCACCCTTAACAGACCCATCATTCAGTGCTTAACCCTACTTCTGAGCCAAGTTTTAATTTTCTATCTCTCTCTGTTTCATTGAATCAAAAAAGTATTTGGAAAATGCACCTCTTACAAAAAAAAATGTGCCGAGAGGTTTTACGTAAAATATAACATTTTTACTGAAATTTGTACCCAGAGAATTCCATGCCCACCAAGTTTCAACCTTATACATTTGACCTTTTTGCTGGTGTAAAAAGATCTTTGGAAAGACGACCCACACAAAAGCCCTGAGGGTTAGGGGATGCACTACAAAAGTTGAATTTTTTCTGAACTCAGCATCGTGTCAGTTATGCATGTGCCAGGTTCCACCTCTATTTTTTCCCAATTCACTAGGAAAAAAATATTATTTGAAAAGGTCAACTCCCAAAAAATATACCCCCAGGGGATGTATCTGGAATGTGACAATTTTAAGAACTCAGTATCTTAGTCAGTACGTTCATGCTAAGTTTCAGCTTTCCATGTCTCTTCATTTGACTGAAGCAAATAATTTTCTTTGAAAACATCTTCCCCAAATTATGTGCCCCAGGGATTTACCTCCAAAGTCTGAATTTTTCTGAACTCAGCATCCCAATAGGTTATCAAGTTTCAGATTTCTAACTTGTCTAGAACATGGTTAGAGTTAGCATCACATAATGGCAATTTGCATAGCATAACATCAATTAGAGCCAGAATTAGTCAGTCACTTCGTCAGTTAGTCATGATCATCTATATATATTAGATTATTCATACCATTCTCATGATATTCATGGATGTGACAGAAATGCAAATCTGGAGAGAATGAATTGGACTACTGGAACAGATGCCAGCATGGGTTCTCCAATGCATACTGATAATTTCAAAACAACTCAGGTGTGAAGAGATGTCAATTGTTCACATTTGAATGATATCTAAAAAAAATAACATTCAGTTATATTTATAGACTTTTGTTTTAAAATACATTTTCAGAACATGTCACATCCGACACTTTCCTGTCACATCCAACATGGACAGAAAATAACCTTGCTTTCTTTCCTAAGTTTTGTAATCTTGGAGTGACTTATACTAATTCAAGGCTTTCATTTAATCTATAGAATGAACATAATACTAAGTTATTAGTTTCTGTTCTATGACAGAAATGTGAACATTAGAGCAAGTGACTTTAACCTGAGGTTTCACGAAATATCATGTCTGACACTTTTTTTCGCACACTGGTAGCACTCTAGCAAAAGAGAGTATGCAAGACTTTAGATTATACAATTTTCAGTCACTGCCTTAGGCAAATTTTTGCAGCATTTATATGTTGATTCGTCATTTAAAATATAGTTAAATACATTTTGTATATCAAACATATTACTTGGATGTCACGTCTGACACTCTTATCCAACTCATCCCTGTGAGGACTTCCTTAATCCCCAAGGGATACCAGTCACTAGCCACCCTCATCACCTACCACAATCTACATTCCTGATGGAAACTAGTCATCAGCCACCAATCACTTCTCACCACCAATAATATCCTTGAAGGGAATCATCCATTAATTACCTCTATCTTAGCCAGATTAGCAGTATTTTCCCAGACACAAGAGGTACAACCTCAAGAATACCTATAGTTGGTCATCTGTATTCATCTGAGAATTAGGATGGAAAAGGTGTACTCTGCTAATTTATGAAGTACCATTATATCTAATTTTCTATGTCAGTGGAAGTGCAATCCTCCAAAAAACACATACCATTACCATGTCATGTATGGAATATATTTATGAGAATCTGCTTCAGGTACTTCATAGGAGAATTTCAAAGGGATAGGATAGGAATGAAATTTTCTCAGAAGTATATCCTTGCTGACTTGGTTTGGGAGTCCAAAAGATATACAATCAACTCTGCATAATCAAATACCGCTTCATGGAATATCATTGCACTATCCCAATTTTTCTATCATAGGGTACATTATGAAAACTTTGCATAGGGAATATGGTTATTAGAATAATCCACTTACAGGAATAAAATTTCCTGAAATATGCAATACTTTTTTTCCCCATTCGCATTGTTAGAAAGTACCATCTGGCCCTTCCCCCAGTCCTACCCTCCCACGTTGTAGAACCAAGGTCATGAGTTCCCACTTGACTCTTCCATGAATCGAGGGTGGAAACAGGAAGGAAGGCAAGCACATCCTTTCCTGAAAATTGGGGGTAAGTATAGGCTGTGGATGCAGAAAAGAGGCAAATAAGCCTGCCTTTCTTTAAAGATCAAAGTGAAAGAAGGTTTATGAACTATGAATTGAGCCTATAGGCATCAGTTCCGTACATTCCAAGTTAACCATGCAGAAAAGGAAAGACCTCAGCCTGGCCGAAAATACTGCAGTTCTGAGAGCTCATCAGGGTGAAAAGAAGACGCAAGCTGAACTGGCTCGGTAGTTAGGGATCTCAGCCCCAAGTTTCAAAGATCACCAAAAACAAGGTAGCAAAATATCATAATGTGCAAAACGCATTCTTAAAAGTGGTGAATGCATGTGCAAATACAGGTACTGTACATCAGGATATAAGCTGCCTGAAGTACGAAGTAGAAGTACAGTACGATTGTTTTGGTTATTGGAATACTCCAGATTATAGAATAAAGTTCGCTGGTCCCATGAGTATTCCATTAAGTCGACTGTACTTGTTTTAATGAGTCAGCATTGCAAGAAAAATACCAGATAAGCTGAGCAAGGTAGAAGCAGGTAAACTTTTGTCATGAATGACTCACTTCATCAAAGCAGGCAATGGCAATGGTCAAAGCAGAGTGTACTTCCATCAACACCTCCTCAGCCACCTCCCTATGAAGAAGACATTCCATCAAGGCCAAGAACCTGCATATTTCACTAAAAGCTGTCTTCCTATACCTAGATGCAAATTACTCACTTGATGATGGATTCCAGGGAGGAGGGGAAGAAAGAATTGAACACTTCAAACTTGGCCAACTCAGAAGAGATCTTAGTAGACATGGTAACTGATGGTTTAGGTGTGTCTTCCTTTCTTTCCCACTGCTAAAGGAACAAGGGAAAGAATCTGGTTTTCCATTCTCTCAGGTACAGAAAATTGGAGGGGACCAAAAATCAGTAAGAGTCAGGTAATACATGAGAGATCCATTCCAACCTGATTTGTGGTGGCACCACAGACTCCAAATGGAGGAGCATGATTGGGAAAATGGGGAGGAATTACAGGATGGGAAGGGTTGAATGACACAAGATGGGGAGGATTTACAGGATGGGAAGAGTTGAATGACACAAGATGGGGAGAAGTAACAGAATGGGAAGGATTGATAGGTACAGGACGGGGAGGAGATACAGGATGGGGAGGAGTTATAGGATGGGAAGGATGCATAGACACAGAATGGGAGTAGGTGAAAGACACTTGATGGGAGACAGCAGAGGAAGAGATGTGGATACTTGAAAGGGCATCTTGAACGAGTTTTCCATCTGCACCGAAACTTGTATGTATTTTCAGCCACTCCAAGGGATTTTTGGGCATCTCCCCTCCATTCACTACCTGTTACAAACAACCATCCCCAGTGTTTAGTTACTGCTTATTAGAAGGCACTGCACCAACAATCCTTAGTGGCCCATTCACCTTGGCTATTGAGGAGGAATCCAACTTCTCATGAATGAGATCCAGGCTATGTCTGGAGAATTGCAAGGCAGCAGGGATTTCAAACAGGCTACGATCCAAGAGGACATGATGATCATCAGAACACAGGCCATGAGATTCACAGAATTCCTGAGTCTCCTCATGAGATCCAAAGCCAAGCCATGTCCTGATGTCTTCTACAGGCAACTGCACACAAAGAATTCATGGTGGATGATGACAGGGAGAAAAAAAAAGGGAATTTCCCTATTCCTCTCATGTAAATGCTCTCTTTCAATGGAAATTGGTGCTGAGGTGTGGAGATGAGAAGCCATTTCCTGAAAAACATAATACAGAGAAGAATGAAGAGGCACCATTTTCAACTTTAGACAGTTGCCAAGATATGCTAAAATGCCAGTTTTTCTCCTTGATTACAATTATTTTAATGCTAGCATACATGTTTTGCATACATATCATGAAAGTAAACTCCATGCAATTCCTGCAAAATTCTCTCTACAAACAAAAAAATTGCACAAAAAGGGTCCATGTGATGCATACTGCTAGTCACAGATGGAAATATATTATTACCAACATTTCTTTTCTTTGAAAAGAAGGATAACTATAATAGGGTTCCCCTTTGTATACTTCTGAGAGTCAATATTTTAACCTCTCCTTTAGGTTCTCATTTTATTTACATAGAATCATCTATTTTCCTTAGGTTACAGCAAACTAAAGTATCAAAAACAACATGGAAGGAAGGTACAAAGAATATATGAGGTAAGTCTTTTGCTGAAAACAAAATGGATGTTTCAGAATGGCCTCTCAGTACCTCCATTGCTTCACTCTGTAATTTTTTTTTGGGCAGAGTTAAGAAATTCACTTGCCACAATGGGAACTGAAAACAATTTCCAAATAGATATCACAATGGAACACTTTTTCACCCCAAAGAACACCTAAACACTCATACTTTCTGAAAATAATCAGCCTTCTTCTCCCTCCATCTTAACTCTGTACACACTTCTTCACCAATATAATTATTTTTAACTTATTGGAGGACCTTCAACAACCAGTTCATTTGAGGTATGCATTTCCACCACATTGCAAAATCTACTGTCTGTACCTTTGGGACACTCATCTAATAGTGTTTGGCAGTTTCAAAGGGTAAATTTGCCTGCAAACTTTTCAAGTTGAATGTGAACATGAATCCTGCCCCCATGTATGAAAAACCTGCAGAATGGGAAAGCCATGAGGATAGGGTAACTTGGGGGAATATGGACACCAAAAATGAAATCAGGTTATAGCATCACGTCTAGGTGAAATGAAACTTTGCCAATATTCAGAAAATATTGATCGATGTCTCCTTTATCATGTTTCAAGGTACTCAGCATGTTCCAGCACATTTCACACGTTCCTGGACAATCTGGAGTTGTTTTTCAGAAGTGGCCATATTCCCCCAACTATAGGGTTAATATGGCCTCTTGAGACCTACTCAAAAAAGACCCAAAGGTGCCATAACCATGGTTTTTTTT